CACATGCATGCCCCAGGCTAGGTTCTTGGGACACAGAAGACACGAGGCTTTCAGGTGTTTTGAAGGAGAAAAGAGATTGTTAAGTGGACCACAGAACAGAAGGAGAAGCAGAGTCTGCCAGTCTGTTTTTTCTCCAAAAATAAAAAAAAAGTTATCTGCAGGAAAAGGAAGGAAAAGAAAAATGGGGGTGGGGGGTGGAGGTAGTATAGAATCCAAGAACAAAGACGAAACTCTTACTCCTATGAAAACTGAGGGAGAGCCATTGCAAATTCAGCCTGGCCTAAACACTGGTCAAGCCTGACACCTAGAGGCCATGCAGCCCAAGCTCCACGAAGTGGCTTCTGTCCTGAGTCCACAAGCAGTATTTATTCAACGTCAATGAAATGAGGGCTTAGCGTCTGCCTGCCCTGCAGAAATGAGATTCTCTGCTCCTGTCCTCACTGAAGCGTTTCTTTAGGAACACTATCGCCCATCCACCCTCTCTCCATTTTTCTATTTGATTATTTTTGTGTAAACATCGATGTTATCAGAAGCTCTTCCCTCTTCTGCCAAGAAATTGAATTGGGGATCGTTTGTTTTTCAGGACTAGCGTTCCACATGAGCAGCTTGTCTGCCCGAGGCTTGGGGGCGAGATTGCTCTCTCTTTCACCTTCTCGAGTATTCTGCTGCCAAGTAATGGCAACAGCCGCTCTCTGAAGTATCCCTACTCTTCCTTTCCCTTTTGTTGTCGGTCCATTTACAGATGCTTACCGAGGGGAAAAGAAAAACAACACCGATCAAAATGCACCCTGCAAATTCCCTAGTCTACTTTCATTAGCAAAGTGCTGTAGTAGTGTCTGCTTCAGAGGGACCCTGAACTGGTTTGAGAGCTGACCATGGTGCTCTGTCCCTTAGAATAACTAGTGCCATTTCTGCAGGGCTTTGGCGTTTGCCCAGACAGCCCTGGGATGCAGATATTCTAGGTATGCATCTCCTCATTTTATCAATGAAGAAGGCAGGTTAAAGGCTTGGTTCCTATGAGCGAGCAGACAGCAGAGGTCATTCAAGACTCCAAATCCAGCCCGTCTCCATGACCCCATCCTTTCCGCCTTTCCCTTCATTAGTAACAACTATCATTTACATAGTGCTGTAAGGGTGGCAAAGCTTTTTACATATATTAGCTCATTGATCCTTACAACAACCCAAGAGGAAAACAAAACAGATGTTAGAATTCTAATGAATAAAAATAATAATAATAAACATCTGCATAATGCTTCATGGTTCACGGAGTTCTTACACATATTGACATATCTATATCTGTCTATCTATCTATCAGCTAGCTATAGCACTTGAACCATCAAATAACCCTGAAGTAGGCACTGCAGATGCTAATATCCTCTTTTTACAGAAGAGAAAACAGTTTCAGAGACATCAAGTCGCTGGCTTATGATCACCCAATTAAGGATCAGAGGTTGGGTTGGAGTCCAGGTTCCTCAAGACTCCAACCACTAAGCCATACTGTGTCTCCTGCCAATGTGTATGCCCCTGGCTTTGTCACACTAGGAGTTCCTGCCTTTAGCAGCTGGTGGGGGTTACCAAGTCATTGTCTGCACCACTCATCTTTCCAATTATTAAGAAACATGCTCAGCATTTTTCATCTTCCGTGAGTTTCAGATGGTTTGATTGCCCAGGCTCATTAATCCTTGAAGAGTTCTCTGGGAGAATGACAAAGGCATAGCCTCCTAGTGAGCCATGCAGATGGTGGATTCCATTGGCTTCCTTGGGATTTCACAGGGTAAAATTGTGACATGATGTCGTAAGATATTTGTATATTATTTAGACTACTCTCGAGAAAACAAAAGGCCAGCCTCCTTTGAAGACAACTGGTCTGCCTAGTGCATCGAGTTTGTCCAATGGGTGTCCTAGCTTTCACAAAAGGCCCTGAGCTGAATGGATGGCCCTCCCTTCTCCTCAGAGCCCCCTACACGGGTATCCTAAAGGGAGGGATGTAATGACAAGGAGATAGGGCAGCTAGATGTTCCTGACAGAGATGAATGTGTCCCTGCCTTGGTTTCTATAACCTTGTCCAGATGTGTCTGCCTTCCCCAGCTGCCTCAGACAGACACTGGTTTGGGACTGTCTTCCTTTTCTGCAGCTGTAATGGTGGACCCAATGATTTCATCTCCTTAAAAATAAACTTATATCAATGTTGACTGAGGCTTGGACTGTAAATGGAAATTGAGTTTTGACTCAGAAGCCCTCGGCCGTGTGGTATTGTGCTTACAACTACGGCCTTGAAAATGTAGACTGCTGGCCAGAGGCATCATGGGTCAATTTGGCATGAATGTGAAGATCCTGATCCTAACTGTGCCTTTGAGTCATGGCCTGAGAGCTGCTTTGTGTTAGCTTCTGGCTGGCCTGGCCAGGGGCCTGGGCAGCTTCCTTGCCCTCAGTGGCCTTCTCAGCCCCCTCCCTCCAGGCTGACTGTTTTGTTTCATTTTTTCCTCCCAGGAAAATGATCTGCCTCCTGTTCAGTGGTAGCCTGCTTGAGGTAGGAGAGTGTTAACAGATCTCATCCACCTCAAATCCCTTGGTGAAGCTGCGCACCCCAGAGCTGCTGTGGCTCATGGCTGAAGGGAAGACTTAGAGCAGCCCGACCAGGTGGGCAAATGGGGCCAAATGAGGCAAGGTGGTAGCTGGCCAGCAGCCAGTGCAGAGCACGTCTTTCTCTGGGTTAGCTCACCCCCCACCCAAAACCACAGGGATACCTTGTCATTTTGAACTGAGCCTGAGGGCAGGGGGGTGTCAGCGGGTACGAATGGGGCTTGCTCACTCTTCCAAAGCTGTCTCTCATCTGGGACTTGGTGCCTGGTTTTTGTTTTTGTTTTTGTTTTTGTTTTTCCTTGCCTAAGAAGCAGTAATCCACCATTGCTTATCTCTGTTAATCACAGCCTTGTGGAGCTGGCTTCCCTGAGCCTTTAATTCTCTCTTACGGGCCTAACGGAGTGGAAAGTAAACAAAGGCCAAATTCGCCACCTCCCCACATTGCTAATTTCCTCTGATGTCAGAATATTTAAATAGGCAGGACCTGGGAATTATTGGCTCCAGGCTGCTTTTAATCTAATGCCAGGGAAGAGCCAGAGCTAGGAGACTCTGTACAATGACAGGCCTCCCCAGAGAGGTTTCTGAAGGTTTCCAGCCGCTCTGGAAAACAGGAGCCTCCTGGCTTTCAACTCTAGAGCTGGGGCTGCTGCTGCGTGGGGAGCCGGGCGCTGTGCTCTCCCCTGGCCCCCTCACCGAGCCTGGCCTGCTTTTCTGCTGATGCGGAGGGCTCTGCAGAGAAGGGCTTCTGGGCTCTTCTGTTTGCAGCTTAAAAGAAAGTGAAAAGAAGCCAGTCTCTTGATGCTATTTTAGGTTCACTAGAGGCTGAATGAATAATTAATACAAGGTTATTGGGGGGAGAAAGCTCCCCCCTTCACCCCATCGCTCCAGATACATTCCTCTATAGTTATGGATCTTGGGGCGTGGGGCTACGCAGAGAAAGTGATGAACAAGTGAAATCCATTCACTCCTCCCCTCCACACACACACACACACACACACACACACACACACACACACATCCCAGAGATGACAGTTACCTTTTCATTTTCCAGGAGGTCCCGGACTGCCCACACTGTCCAGAGTCTGTGAGTGAAAGGAACCAGCTGAGCGAGCCCGGGAATTGTCTTAGCAAAAATAGTAATAATAAATAAAAACAGCCCGGATTTTGTGTCCTCTGCCCCTGGGTCTCCCTGGGTCTTCAGAATGTAGCATATTTTCAGTAGCCATCCAACTCTTGCCTGTTTCTGTCTGGCTAACCTCTAAGGTTATCAGCACTGTGCTTTCTCTCCCAGAGTAAACAGCAGAGGATGGCTTTTCCAATACTAATCCGTGCCGAATGACATACTTTCCAGTGTTCAGAGAGGCCGAGCTTGTTTCATTTGGTGATAATAGCAAGACCCTATGCTGGCAAAAGAAACAGATGATTTCCCTGAATCTACAAATGAGGGGGGCGTTCGATTTGGGGGCTGCCCATGTCTGTCTTTAAGATTCCCGCTCTCCCATCATGCCGTTCACGTTGGGGTCCTCGGGATTTACTAATCCCCCCTTGAAGTAACTCAAAAGTTACGTATTGAAAGACGAATTGGAAATTGGCCCTGTTCATGCCTGAGCACCCCGCCCCCCTTCCCTCCCACGCGTAACCCACAGTCTATGCCCCGGAGGAGGCCTCCGGCCTCGACTGGCAGCAGTGCCCGTCACGGGGCACTGGGGACCAGCGCTAATAACCGTGGCGCGGGGCGCGGGGGGCGCTTGAGGGGCGGGGACGGTTCTTCTCGGTGTCTCTCGCCTAGCTCCGCAGAGGGATCTGTACAAGTGGGTCTGCTGACACGTCTGCGTCTCCCCCCACCCTTCCCTTTTTGTTCTTGTCCTCCCCTCCCTCCCCCCGGCTCCCTCCCTCCCCTCCTCCCCCCTCCCTCTCTCTCTCCAGCTGGTGTGCCTGACTGCTGCCTCCTCCCATCCATCGCAGCCCCGGATAACCTGCTCAGTCAGCTGGAGCCCCCCGCGGACAGCTGGCACCCTCCGGCTCGGGCTCTCGCTCTCAGCTGAGCGGAGGCTGCCAGGGAGCGCTGGCTGGAAGCCGGGGCGCAGCGGCGGAGGGCAGGACGGCGGCTAGGGGCGCAGCACCAGCGGCGGCTGCAGCCCGGGCATCTGCCCCGGCCCCGGCCCGGTCCCCGCCGGTGGACTCCATTGTTCCGGCTGTTTGGTCGGCGCCCTTTCTCGGCTTGCCTTTGGAAGGAGACAATAGCCGGGAGCGGAGCCGCGCGCCTGGCTTTGGAGGCGGCAGGAGCGGCTCAGCGCGCTCGCTCGCTCGGGTTGGGCAAAGACGCCCCCGACGCTCGGGACCCCCTTCCTCTGCTGCCACCTCCTCCGCGGCCTCGGACCCTGACCCCAAGTCGGACCTGCAGGAGTGCGACAGCCATGGGGCATCCGCGAGGGAGGGTGGCCCCCTGCTTCCGCAGGCGAGGAGGCGAGGGGCTTTCGCTCTTCGTTCTTCTCCTCGTCCTCATCCTCATCCTCGGGGCCAGTGAGGCTGGGGCGCACGCCGGATCTCAGACTTCGCTCCTCTATCTGTGGAAGACCGGTAAGTCCATCGGGGCTACTTTGGGGGAGGTGGGTGGGGGTGCAGACGTTGGCACCTTGTGGCTATGCGTGTCCTCTGCCGGGGTCCAGACCATGCGGGCTGCGCTCGAGAATTATTGTGCAAATGGAGCTAGAGGTCTGAGGGACCCGAGAGAGGCGCATTTGTTTCTCATTGACCTGGAGAAAGGGAGACGTCCTAAGGAACCCATTCCCAGAGGAGGTGGGCTGGCTCCTGGGAGTGTGAGAGAGCTGTCTCCGGCTCTGCCGCCAGTTAATCTGGGCAGCCCGGTCCCGCTTAGATAAGGAAGTACATCTTCGCCGAAGGGCTGTGTTTTCACTTGTGACTCTTGAAAAATCAGCGGTGCCCAGGGCAGAGAGGAGTTCGTCTGGTGGCAGCCTCAGCCCTTTAAGGCTGTTGTCTCCTGTGTGCCCAACCAAGCTGTGTGTCTATCCGTTGAGAGGTAGAGGGGTCTGCTCAGCTCGGATTTGTTAGAAGCAGCCCGTCACATAGGAGTACATGGTGGAGGTGAAATAAACCAAGGGACAGTAGCTGGTGGCTGGAGTGGTCCAGGACTCCCGGCTCTCAGGGGGGCCATCAGGCCACAGCAAGCTCAGCTCCGCAGCTGGCACTGGCCGATCAGTGGGTACACTCCTTGGGGCATTGGCCAGGCTGAATTTCTCCTCAGGAGAAATCCTGCCCTTTCAGACCAGCCCTCAGGACTCAGCCCAGAGCTTACCCTCCCCGATGGGGGCAAGTGGCCAGTGTGGGGAGGGGTGAGCTTTGTGCAAACCGAGTAACAATAATGATGTTCCAACAAACTGAGATTGTCGGGCTCTCAGCCCAGAGCTGTTTTGTTTTGCTTTTTCAAAAGATGAGAATCCTTCTGCCAAGGCGAAACTTTTGATGTATTTTAGGATTAGAATCTGCAGGAAATGCTTCTTGTTTGGGGTTTAGAGACAGAAACAGCCCCTTCCATCCCAAAGTCAGACACTGAGGGACACCTCTTTATCGATGGAAGGCTCTAGGCATGAGGGGAAAGAGTACCCCTTAGATTGGAAAACCAAGTCGGGGAAGAGGTCCTTCTTCTGGCTTCAGATGCCCTGGCACCTTGCCACTGAGACAGATCAATTCACAATTACATGGAAATCCTGAATATTTAAAGAAGCTCTAGTGCTTCAGAAATTGGGGGGGGGGGCGGGTAAGGGAAATGTGTTTAAAACTCTGAAGTCCAGTAGTCTCAGGATGCTAATAAGACAGGGAAGCCTGAATTGAAGAAAAAAATCTGTCTGTCACTACCTTCTTGCAGGAAGCCCCCAAAGCTTTGCTTATGACTTTGAAGCTGGCCATTGTATTCATTTGGTTAATGAACGTGGTGTGGGCCAAATGGTCACACTGTAATTGAGCATCAAATTGGGGAGCTTCTCTCCTATTCAAACACAGCCAGAGGCTGTCTTTATAAAAGTTGATGTATGCTACAAACTGGCAGCTCGAATCCTCATTGAATCACCTTTAGGAAATGCCCTTGAGCATGTGCTCAGCTTGGGAGGCAGGTAGAAAGTCAGCTTAAACACCTGTGGTCCCTGCCCTCTTGGTGTTTACATTCTAATGCAGGCAGGGGACACCAGCAAGAAAGTCAGATAAAAGGAGAGGCTCCCAAACTCACCACAGGTCACTGCATGCACCAGAGTCAATGGTGGACCAAAGGTGGGTGGCTTCCTGTTAAAATATATGGTATAAATATATTTATGATTTAATAATAAAACCCATGGGACTGTTCACAGGAGCGGGGTGAAAGCTTCCTTTTCATCTTAGAGAAGGTGAGATTCAAAGTGGGGAGGAGAGAAGCGGAATTGGAAACAGAATATTTGAAGTAAGAGAGCAGGAAATGTACATGTCCCAGAGTGACCAAAAATGCTAGATCTGGGAAGGCTTCTCTACATTCAAACAGAACGTCCCAAAAGGAATGGGGTCGGCCCGGGATAACCCATGGCCCAGAGAGTGGAGCAGAATCTGAGGTTGGTCAACTTGGTCCTCAAGCATCAAGTTTGAGAAAACCATGGCAGGAAGCTTGGGTCATGTTGAAGGACACGTGGTTTCCCAGAGCATCATCTCCTACCTTCAAGGAGTTTGTGATCTAGTCAGGGAGAAAAGGGATATGGCCCAAAGTTTACAGTTCAAAACAGAACGTGGTAAGGACATGAGAGAACAGAGAAGTAAGAGAATTCTTAGGCAGAAGAGATCATTTCCAACTGAGGGAATCAGAGAAGGCTTCATGATGGGGGCAAATTTTAGACTGGGTCTTGTTAGATGTGGTCAGAGTAATGTGTGTGTGTGTGTGTGTGTGTGTGTGTGTGTGGTTAGGGCTTAGGAGCCAGCTAGGTGACTCATTGGACACTGGGCCTGAAGCCTGGAAGACCTGAGTTCAAATCTGGCCTCAGACACTTACTCGCTGTGTGACCATGGCCAAGTCACCTAACCTCTTTTTGCTTTGATCCATGGGGGAAGGAAATGGCAAACCATTTTAGTATCTTTGCCAAGAAAGCCCCTGGACAGTAGGGTCCACAGGTCACAAAGAATTGGACACAACTGAACAACCATAGGCTAGGCCTGAAGGTTGCTAGGATGTGGTTTCTAGACATGTGGCCAGGGAAGGGGCCAGAGGCACCTTGGAGGTGGCACCAAGGGCCTTGAATGCCACACAAGGCAGTTTGTTCTTCATTCAGTGGGTAGTGGAGTGCTGGGATCTGGCTTCCCTATGGCCCAATCTCCTCCCTCCAGTGCTGGGACTAGATCTTGTGAGTGGAGAAGAGAAGGCAGGTTTGAGACATCTCAGTGAAGGCCTCCGGGCTTGGTCCCCTGACCAGATGGTGTCGGGGAGGGGAAGTAGGAAGGAATGTGAGGGGAGGGGGTTCTTTAGGAGGAGGTGGAGGAGCTGAGGCAGAAGAGCAGGTTGGAGGGCAAAGATTCTGATTTGTGAATTCACTGTGATTCACTGTGAAGCAACAGTGTAAAGTCTAGGTCTAAAGCCACTCCCAGGCTCAGTTCTTCATCCGTAAAGTGGGTGGGGACATTTAGACCAGACGACCATGAAGATATGAGAGCCCAGATAACATTGCCATAGCCCTGATGCTCTCTTCCAAAAGCTCACTGGAGCATGTTACTTACCTGCTCAAGAAACTGCCTCTAGGATGAGATACAAACTTCTCTGTTTGGCAGCTCAAGCCCTGGCCTTCCAGGCTCCCCTCATTCCCTGTCGTGTGTCCTACATCTCAGTCAGACTGGACTCCTTGCACTTTCTCTTCTATGGCATTCTGTCTCATGGCTGTCCCCCATGCCTGACTATAAGGGAGTGAGCCCCAGAAGCTTTCTCTAGGAAGCCCCTCTCCCAAGATGGGCCTTGACACAAGGTCAAAGATGTTTAGAGATGGTGTTGAGGAGGGAGACACTGCCAGGCCTGGGAGACAAAGGCCCAAAGGCAGGAAATGGAATCCTGACTTCTGGGAATAGCAGGTCGTCTGGTTTGTGGAGCCCATCTTGAACACTCGCATATTCAGCAGAATTAGGACTTAAGTTGTTATTTGACTCCGTAGCTGATTATTTAAAAATAATTCCCAATTATGTATTGTCTCCAATTAAATTATAATCTTTTGCAGAGAGGAGGAACATTCTATAGCCCTGCTCCCTCACTTTTATAACCACACCCACATACACACATACATATATAAATGCATACATACAGTACACACATAGATACACATGCATGCATGCATATACACACAACACACACATGCATACACACATTACCTCCACTCATGTTGGACTTTGAGTGTGGTGTGGGCCAGGGAAGGTCAGAATAATTCAACAGCTGATGCTAAGCCCATAGATGTTCCCTGACAAGTTGGGGACAAACCCAAGGATGTCAAGGATGTCATTTGGGGATTGAAATTCCCTCAGAGCTCTGAGCGCTATCCTCAAGTCCGTGCAGAAATTACAGATGCCTGACAACAAGAGTATGTGTATGTATATATGTATGTATGAATGCATGTGTGTATGTACATGTGTGTATGTGTGTGTATTCCTTATGGAGTATGGGGTCACACTTCCTGGTGCTCTAGACAGGGTGCTGAAGCAGAGAAATGAGAAAGTTGAATCCTGTGATTCCAAAAGAGCCAGGGGCATACCCCACAGGCAGTAGAACAGGATTCCCTGCCCACACCTGCCACCTCGATGTCTGGTGATTATGAATCAGTGGGTGGTGCACCCTCTGCATCTTCAATCTTTCCAAAAAAGCTTCTTACTGAGAGCTTACTGCAAATACTACCTGAATATGTAAGAAATAATCTTTAAATTGATAAGGGATGGGTAGAAGGATGTTTTACAAAGGGAACTTTTTTTTTCTAAAATACTGTAGCTGGCTTGGGTCAATGACGCCCTGCGTGAGCACTTTGCCTCTCAGGGCAGAGGCCCACATCCCCTTCAGTGGTGCAGTTGACATTTGGAGGTTTTCTCATGTCTAGCATGCTTCCTGTGCTGGCCCTGAAGAACCCCAGCAATGCCCTCTAAACCTGAAGGCCCACTCAGAGTTCAGTGTGATGAGCAAATCCCCTCTGCCAGTACTGTCCTCACAACTCAGGGCACAAGCACTTTGCATATGGAAAGCAGCTGCCTGGGGCCTCCCAAGCTGAAACAGTATTGATTTCCAACCTGGGAGCCATGGGACAGAGGAGTGTGGCTTCACTGATAGCACAGGGACACAGATTCATGATGGATTGAGTAGTTGTCCCCCAAGACTAAGAAATCGAAACCATCTTGGACAGAGGTCTCTAAAGCCTCGCTCCAGTAGCTTGGATGGTGACACAGGTAGCATGCTTGTCAGGTATGCAGATGCTATGAGGCTAGCAGAAAGAGTTAATTTGTTGGATGAAAACATCTTTTAAGGATATAGTAATGGGCATGATTTGATGGGCATCAAAGTCCTCTGCTCAGGTTTAAACATTCAA